ATAACTTGAACGAATGGGATAAAAAATATCTCCCCTTGGTCAGGGATGCTCATCACATTTTCCTGAAACAGAATCAGCTCGTTTTTTTCTGTTCACTATATAATTACTACTGCTGCTCGCTCTCCTTCCTTCTAAACAACGACGGCGACAACAACAGCAGACATTTCTTTTTTTTTTGCTAGTGAAAAAGAACGACGGCTGCTGAACATGACACACTAGAGATCATCGCGATCAAATCTCGCATCAGATCGTGGCTTGACGAATGCAACAACAACATCGATTTTGATGTGAGCGGCGAAATCAAAGAGCAAAGCGCTTCCCATGCACACTAATAAACGCTCAAATAATGTTTCAACGCGTTCAGATAGAAAAATGGAGAAAAAAAACGCTATATAACTGGTTCATACGATAAATCAAAAGACTGAACTGGTTAAAATGAGTTTACCTGTTTACGTCAGGATAAACTCATTTTAACCAGTTCAGTCTTTTGATTCATCGTATGAACCAATTATATAGCGTTTTTTTCTCCATTTTTCTATCTGAACGCGTTGAAACGTTATTTGAGCGTTTACTTGTGTGCATGGGTATTCTATTCGACAAAAACGGATGATCACATTATGCCGTGGATTATATTTTCTTTTATCTCCTATCTTTTCCATTCTTATGAATCGATAAAACAATTCTATGTATCTGTTAGTTAGTCAGTCAATTGTTTCAAACATTTCGTCCAAGACGACAACCATCATATCTCAACTAATACTGACGAGGAAAATGTTCATATTTTTTTTAAGAAGTGCTTCAAATCGGTTCCTGTACTGATTTAACATGTGATAAAGAAATAAAAGAATTGTATGAATGTCATTGTTGTTCACGTCTTATTTGTTTAAATCATTTAATTGAACATGCTGAAATAACAAAACAAAATAAGGAACGATTAGATAGTCGTCGTAATGAATTAATAACAGTTATAACTACACTTAAATTAATTATTGAACAAAAACTATTTGATATTGAACGTGAAAAAAAATTGATTCAACAAGCAGAATAATGCCTTGATGTACACGTTTGTCCTATTGATGAAATTCAAAAAAGTTTTGAACAAATGAATCAAGCAATTGCATCAAATCGTTCAAGTGAAAATGAATTGGGATAATAGTTTTTTATTTATTGATTTTTTTTTGTTTTTGTTATAGAAGAAACAATGTGAAAGTCGAATCTTCATTATCAGAAATGAGAAGTTGTTCTTATATTTGCAAATGTGATATGGAAAAAACAGCAATGTCAAAGATCCAAAAAATGTCCACTTTACCTAAAGTCCCATAAGAATATATGGGGCCTTTCATACGTTATAAAAAATAACCTATACAAGTAGTAACAGAAAAAGCGAAATACAAATAATCGCCCAGCGGATTTTTCTCACTTCAAGCGGACTTTTCTATTCTGCCCAGGACTTTTCTCTTTACATGATTTTTTTTGAGATGGATAGAATAAACGATCGAATAAAGTTAAATACAATGCAAAGTCTATCGCGTATGTATAATAGACCAGAGGACTTTTCTGCTATCCAGTGGATTTTTCTATTCTGTTCAAAACTTTTCTTTTCACATGATTTTATTTCAGATGAATAAAAACAATGATTGGATAAATATAAATTATATGAAAAATCTATTCCATGTGTATGATACGCATTATACGGTTTACTGTCGTATACTTTGTTGCTGTTGCAAATATTTGTTTAAAAATATATCTTCTTTTGCAAAGTAAATCATACGTCTTCTTGAAGTTCATATTTTTGAGATATGAAAATTTTAATTTACTTTAAATTTTAATTCCAAAACGTTAAATTTATTCTAAATTTAAAATATTTAAATCTTTTAAATTTATTTAAATTTATTTGTATTCAGCTTAAATCAATATAAATTCAATTTAAAGTTATTTGAATTTAATTTAAATCCAACTAAATGAGACTAAATTGAATTTTAGTTAATTTAAATTGAATTTAGATTGATTTAAATTGGATTCAAAGAATTTAAATAAATTTAAATAATTTCTTTTAAAATTTGATAAATCCAAAAATAAAGTTTAAGAAAATTACATTTATTTTCAATTGTAATTTCAAAAAGTTAGCTTTATTTTAAATTTAAATTATTTAAATTTATTTAAAATCAGCTTAAATCAATATAAATGCAATTAAAACTTATTTGAATTTAATTTAAGTTCACTTCCGCGCTTTTAAATACCATGTGATTAATCTAAAGGGAGTTAAATTGAACTTTACTTAGTTTGAATTCAATTTAGATAGATTTAAATTCGATTCAAAGATAATGATATTTCATTGCAAATAGAAAGGTCCGTAAGATGATAGAAAGGTGACGCTTCTAGATAGTAAAGTCCATGAAAAATCCTCTGGATAAAATGAAAGATCCGCTGAGAAATACGAAAGTCCTCTTGAGACAGCATAATGATACTTTATTATAAATAGAAAGGTCTGTAAGATGATAGAAAAGTGACGCTTCTAGATAGTAAAGTCCATGGAAAGTCCTCTGGATAAAATGAAAGATCCGCTGAGAAATAGAAAAGTGGCTTGTAGGAATGGAATGTAATATAAACCTTTTTTTCGTTTGACTAGTAAAGTCCTTTTGTTGACCAGCGGACTTTAGGTAAAGTGGACATTTTCGGGATCTTTGACAGCCCTCATTGATCATGATTTTATTGATAGTACTTTATTTAAGTAAGTCTTTTTCTTTCGAAAAGATCTAAAACTGTTTGGATTTGTTTCTTTCTTCTAGTCAAACAGCAAAATTTATTAAGGTAAAATAATTATATGTATAAAAGAGTCGATAAAGTCATTCTTTGAATTAAAACATTAAATATGTGCTTGTCTTATCGAGTCATTCATTAAATGTAGCAATATAAAATTTGGAAACGAGATGTTATTTTTATTAAACTAGACTAATTATGAGAAAAAAACGGAATTGTGAAGTTTAACAAATTATTCGAAAAATGTAACTTAGAAATCAACGTCTCTCATTCTAATTTGTTCAAAAGTGAACAGATAGATTTCTATTTTGTTCTTGTCGAAGGTCAACCAAAAAAAAATAGTCAAATATCTTCGAAATTGCAATAAACTACAGTTCACATTTTAGTTTTATTTTCTAACCTTAAAGTCAATTAAATTAGAAAATAAAAATACTGCACTTGGTAGAGATTAATTAAAAAAAAAACTACTGAATCAACGAAAGGAGGTGGCACTTTTTCCATGGGTTATACCACCCCCCCTCCCCTCAAGCGTTAGTTTTTCTTTTGTTTAACTTTTGTTTGGTTGTAAGTGGTGCGACGATTTGAAATTACACAACCAGACATTGGACATTTTCAGTCGTAGCAAAAAAATCCCTATGTTTAAAACAGGATCACTTCCACGTAAAACTATCAAAAAACAGCTAGTATTTCAAGATTTTGATTGTTAAAAATTGTTTTTATGGGAAATAAGCATGATATTCGGAATCAGCATGCGAATATAGGCCTAAAACTCAATATTTCATCGGAAGAGACTTCCAATCAAATTTTACCCGTAGGGGGGTAGAAGCTAAAATTTTATGAATAAAAAGCTGAGGAGGAATAGGGGTCAACTTTTAATGAGAGATATTTTGCGATGAAGCATAAAGTTCCTAGTGTATTTTTGCATGCTGATTCCAAATATCAGACTTATTTTCTATAAACAACAAGTTTTGACAATCAAAATCTTGAAGTACTAGCCGTTTTGTTGATATTTTACGTGGAAGTAACGACTCTGTTCTAAAGATAATGATTTTTTTGCTGGCATTAGAAATGTCCAAGGTTTGGGTCAGAAGTTTTGATATCATAACACCACCTGCGACACAAAAAGTAATGAAACAGAAAATTGACGGGGGGGGGGGGGGGGGGGGTATATGTGCCACTTTCTTTAATCATGTTATACATATTCTTGATTGCCTCATAGACCCTCTCCCTTCAGCAGTTCGAACCATAATAATAGGGATCATCATTTTTTCGATATTTTCTTTATTTGATAGACTGTATGAAGCTACATTGATAGTAAAAATTTCAATTTTTAAATCAAAGTCATTGTAAAATTATATGTTAAACAATCTTTGTGATATACTAAAAAATAAATGTTTAACCGACAACTTTTTATGATAGGCAGTACTCGTTAATGAAGTAATTAGCTAAGATGATCCTATTTTTATTTTGTAGAGAATCTTCAGTTGTATATGCAGTAAAAATTTGGTTATTATTTATGCAACCATAGATGAGATACAAGTCATAATATAATAGAAGGATCAATATTCGTGGAAAGTGATCCTTTTCCTAAAGTATTAATTTTTTCGCTAAGACTAAAAGTGTCCAAGTTCTGGTTTAATGGTCTCATATCCTCAGGTCACTCATAACAAAAAAATAGTTAAAAGAAAAAAAATTAGCGGGGAGGGGGGGGAGGAGTTATAGGCGCCATTTCCTTTAAAGAAAATAGTTATCGGTTCGTACTTATCTTTTGTCGAACGTGTGAAATACACGTATATCACAGACTCGTTATTGAAGTTGGTTGACGCTAATAGGAATTTACTGTTAAAAGTAAGGTAAAGGGAATTCGAACTTTCAGTAAAATTTTTTTTTGGCGTTTTTTTTACATCATTTGATAGAGTTTGAGCTGCTGATCACGAAAAACTACTTTTTAGCCTTAGCAAATACTTCCTTCTGGTCAAAAAATATGAAATACTCGAAAATTGTCGTTTTTTGAGAAAAACACATTCTTTTTCGAAACGTGCGAAATTTTCTACTTTGCTCTTTTTTCTAACTTCTGAAATTAATTTTTTCAGATTCAGCATCAAAAACTGAGTAGAAATAAATTGTTAAATCGACTCAAGAGCGAAAATTCTATTGGCGGTGGCGCTTCAAATCGCGTCGAGTGCATCACGTATAGGTCGATTTTCTAAACCTATCTAGTTTTTCTACGTAAGCGATGAAGCCAAATATTTTGTCTTATTCTTTTGATCATATCACCCCTCAACACGCCTAGTATCGGTTTTTTTTCTTTCCTTTCCTAAGTTGAGAAAACTCGTTTTTACTGGAACCATAGCCATTTTAGGCGGGTGTGGATGTATGGGCGTCGATGAAGAGAACGCCCACCCTCCGCACCAACACCCACACCCTCATCTCCACACCCACATCCACACCCCCATCTCCGCACCTACATCAACACCACACTCACCCACACGAGATGCAGCGTGGAAAACTCTACAAATTAGAAAGAGCAGTTTATTTCAAACAGGCATGTCTTGCTTTCAAAGTAAGCGAAATTTTGTGCAATCGCTTTTCGATGCTGCGAAAAGTTCATTTTTTCTAGACGAACGAGAAATTCCTTTCTTATTTCATCTTTTTATTACCTAAGTCGTGTTTCTTTAAAAAAACCAGTATACCAAGTGATGCAGTATGAAAAGTTCTACAATCTACAACGTACAGCCCATTTCGATTGTGTTCTTTTTGTGTAAAAAAAAATCGAAATTCTGTACGACCACATTTCGAAGTGTCGATAATTGGTCGAACGGAGTTTTGCTTTACTTGAAAACAAATAGTACCCAATTATAATTTCGCCAAATATGAGTCTCGCCAATTGGTGAATTTCCCTACAAAATTCGCCATTTTGAATGAATTGAATTGTAACCTAATTAGAGTACTTGATATGCTAACCGATCAAATTGAATCAGTTAAGATGTATAGAAGTACAATAGTGAACAAATACAATTGGTGAAATTCTAGAAAGCCAAACACTTAGATAATGTCAGAATATTCAAAATAGTAAAGTCTAATAGAACTTGGCTGAAAATGATTTGATTCATCATGATCTGTTAGTCGATACAAGATAGTTCTAAAATTGAAACGATTTTATTATTCGATCACTGGCTAAAAACTATGATAAGAGCGTTAAAGCAATGTCAATTTTCAAAAATCATTAACTTCGATCAGTCTTGAACTTTTGTACTCGATGATTTTTTTGATCACTCACATAGAGATTATCATCTCGATCAAATGACAAACCGATGGGATAAGAGAGTTGATTCGATTGATTTCCTTGACCATTTCCACCAACGATGATACTTCCCTGTGTGGCTTCTTGGGACCAACGCATTATTCTATGATTCCCACTGTCAGCCACAAAGATAGTACCTGATTGATCAACGACCATTTCACAAGGATTCAATAATTGTGTAAGACTATTCCCTTCACCTTGACCGCCAGCCACAACAATGCCTTGTTTCGCATCTTTTACCCACTTCATCACACGATGATTGTTATAATCTGATATGTAAATTGAATGTTCTCGATCGACGACAACGTATCTTGTATTAGACAATTGATTCAGACCATTTACTTGTCCATGTCCACCTGCAACTACTGTTCCTTGATTATCTCCGATCCGATATCGTTGAACTTCATCTTTTTCGTAATTAGCAATATAGAGAAAGCCATCATCGTCCATAGTCAAGCCCAAACATCCAATATTTGAAATGATTGTTTCTCCATTTGTACCATTTTGATGAGGCCATCGAACTACCCTTTTGTTACGATGATCACAAATGATGAGACTATCTGTTTGTTTATCGATAATCATACTCGTCGGATACCACAGCTGATCGGAATGGTTTCCTCCTCCATGTCCACCAGCTATAACTCGACCAGTCGTCGCACCACATTTCTATTCGACAATACGATCATTTTTGAAATCAACAATGTAGATAGTTTGTTCATCATCAACACACAAATCCCATGGATTGCGGAGTTGATTCATTGCAATACCTTCTTCATTTCCTCCAGCTACAGTAACACCCTCCTGTATCCATTTTGCATTGGCATTCAGATTTACACTGCGCAGTAATGGTACTGAAACAGAACACAATTTCATTCATTCATATTAAATCAATGTACGTGGATGGAAACTGATATTCGAAGTACAGAACTTTGATTGAGAGAGAGAGAAACACAAAGAAGTTTTACTTAATTTTTGTATTGAGCAATGCCTTAATAGTAATCTCGTTGTTTTCATATGTCGAATGATAAATCATCTGAGTGTTTCTATAGAATGATGATTAATATTCGAATCTACGAATTAAATACTAGAGCTTCTCTTCATCTCACTATCATCGATAGACTTCTTATCTTTCAAACAAACTTAATAACAAAATGTCACTATATTGATCATCACAAGCAATAAAGAAAACTTGACAGTGCTCTAGTTTTTTTCGAATATTTTTCAAAGAAAGAAAATCAACGGAACATCATCAAAACTCTTTTGAAAATGAAATCCCAGCTGAGAACTATTGGTATGAACTCAATAATTCAAGAAACATTTGACAAAGCTTTATGCAATTTGATTTTCATAAAATCAATTAGATCAACATTTGAAATGTGAGAAAATAATTGTGAAGAACTATGTCAAATGTTTTCTAATCAATCTGAATCTTACAGATGCAACAAAAGGTTTGAAATAATTGAGATCCATATTCATTCTTAATAAACAGTTAAGATCAATGACTTGTTTGAACGGAGAAAAGCTCACGACGAACTCTTAATACAATTCTTTTTTTTTTATTTACTACTTTCTCATTGTTTTGTTCAATCCTACTGCAACTTTGCAATGAAAGAAAAGATGATCTTTTCGATTCGACTATCGAAAGTCTTATTAGAAATTCAAAAGAGTCATGCGCATATTTGACAGGTTCAAGAAGCTCTTGAAATTCGACCTTGCGTCACTTACACTTCATTCGAAGCTCGATATACATTGTGTTCATCAGTCATAGCTCTAGAAATAAGCGTTACGATGAAGTTCAATCATCGTAAATGTCACGCTGGAGAATCATGATTTTCTGTAAGAATTATTTTTGTAAATGATTTAATCTCAATCACATGGGAAAACTATTTCTTAAAATGAAATAAATCGTATATAAATGACTATTCTATGTTGTTTTATAATAGTGATTTTGATTTGAATTCGAAATGAAACTTCAAAATGTTGAATATGTTTTATTTTGAATGAAAATCTACTCAGTTGTATCAAAACGGTAAGTGTTGGAATGACATTTTATTCAATTTTCTTGAAGACTATTTATTTCAAAATGTTTCATTAATCAAAATACTCACATTTTTGTTGTTCTTCATGGATATAGATGAATTGATTCCAATCAATTTGGTTATTATTATCAATAATGATTGATTTTTTTATATGTTGTTGACAAAAATATTCAAATTTTTGTTGTATTTCATTGATCTTTTGTTTAAAATGATCAATACCATTTTCAAGAAAATGTTTTTCTTCTTGTCGACGATGAATTTCTTTTGTAATTGGTTCAAGTTGTTGTATTATTGTTATTCTTTGTTTTTTTATTAATTCAATAAGTTTATGACGAACTTTTTCTGCTGCTTCTTCAACTTTATTGATTGTTATTTTTTTCCATTGTTCAATTTGATCGGAAAGATCTAATGATGAATAATTTGATTTTTCTAATTTATCTATTTGATCAAGAAATTCATCATGTGACTTGAGAATTTCATTATTGAATTTTATTGATAATTGTTGTTCATGTTCTTGAAAATCTTTCGAACAAAAATATTTTTTACATCCAATGCAAATACATATCGCTGATAAATTATGACAGATTGAACATAGATTTGATTCATTTACTGTTGCCATTTATCTTTGAAGAAAATTATTTGAACTATGTAATTTATTATGAAGAAATATGTTGATCTAAAATGAATTCATATGAGTATTTATAAAGAAAAATCAATTTTAAGTGTTTTTAATAAATAGAAACTCATTATTATTCAATGAAAAATGTATGTTAACGAAATTTCAAAAAAACATGTCTATAATATTATCCCTTGCATGAGGAGAAAAATAGAAAATTATTGAAAGTTTGTGATGATTGTACAAACAGCATTTGTGTTTTATCTCATCCTCTCTTTTTGATTATTTCTGGCTCTTGCAAAAGGCATAATCGATATGCACGAAATTTTTTCGAGAAAACTGGTATTCCACAGGACCACATCAGATTCGATAAATTCGGATAGAAAGATTAAAAACTAAAACGATCGATTTCACATCTACAAAAAATATTTTAAAGTGTCCTACAGTTAATATTTCAGCTCGATCGGACAAAATTGGAAAGGATGTTAAGCGATCCCGATATGGCCCTATGGAAAATTTTGTTCTAAAGTTTTTTCATCGAGCACATATCTCTTCATTTTCTAGAATCAGAAAAAGAACAAGAGGATATTCTGAATATGATGATGAATTCTGTTGTAATCTGAATATGAACAGGTTAAGCCTCTATTTTAGTTAAAATAAATTTTCTTTAAATATATCGTCAACATAAAAGCATATTTTCAAAACGCTGGGAATTTTCAATCATCGATGTATATTAATGTTGTATTTACATGTGAGAAAATAATTCGATTGCAATGAAAGTAATTTCATCAGTCAGCAAATTTCCATAGATTAGACTTTGTCATTATTATTAAAACAAGTTTTTAAAATTTTTCTTCATAGTAGAAATAATTTTTATTGATTTGTTAAACTATAATTCATGTATCATCTATTATTCTTGTGTTTGACGAATCTTTTAAAAAATCTATATTTTAATTCTACTTTTTTTTTTTTGTTCCAAAAAATTCAGGATGATGAAGAATATGAAGCATTATAAAGATATTATTTTTTTTCTGAAAGTTCATCAAACAGCCTAAACTATGTTATACTCAAATTATTCTTCAGCGTTCAAATGCATGACAAAATTACAAAAAAAAAACGCATAGAATGATCGAAAATTTCAAATACAATCAAAATCAATAGCTACTTATATAGAAATTGATTTTCATGATAGTTATAAATTGAAGAAAGCAGAAAAGTCTGTAGGAATATGTAAATGAAGATGCTTTCATTGTGTTCGATTTATTTTCTAGTAGATTTATACAAACTAAACATAATCTATACATGATCAATCAAAATTCCAAGCACTTTCGAAATGTAAATTTATTTGTTGTAAATATGTTCTTTATTTCATGTAAACATGTAAAAAGAATTATTAATAACAAATAAAAGAGACAAAAGTATCATAAATGTGACTTAAACGATGTTTTCCTTTGAAGAAATATCGACTTTTATTAGGATACACTCACACATATTCTTAATGCAAACAATATCTCCAAATCTACATAGTCATTCTTCATGTTTTCGATTTGAGAATGGTTCGACTAATCGTTTGGTTTAACATATATATAAATTGGAAAAAAGAAAAATTTTCTTGGTTGTGTATGTAACTTCTTCAAGTACACTCTTAGTGAGACTATGTCTTTTCGATAATTGTAGAAATATCGTCGATGAATCGTTTTTTTAGGAGAAAACTTTTCATCGAAAAAAATGATTTAGATTCTAGCAGTGCGTAATTCAGGTGATTAAGGTCGAACCATTCAGATAATATTTGATAACGTCGTGGAATTCCAAGAAAATTGGTATAAATAGTCAAGAATACTGATTGAAGATGTACAAAAACTCAGATGTCTAATTGACATGATACGAAGAAACATCATCTCAAGTTTAAAGGAAACTACGAATAACAACTATAGAGTGTTTGATTCAGAATAACAAAGAAATTGTTATTCCGCACTATATTTGTTTTTATTCAAGCTACTCGCAGATTTTCTCAAATTCATTTTAGTTTTCTAATGGTTGATATGAGTATATGCTTTAG